ATGTCTCACTTCTGGTATTTTTTTTCCTTAGATGCTGTTACAAAAATTTGGAGGACTTAGGTCTTGAATTATCATTTTCTGAGACCAACAGCTCCTTGATTCTAGTGAGGAAAGTGCCACTGTGTTTTATAGAAAGAGAAGCCACTGAGTTACGACGGAGAAGACAACCTGTCACTAGAAGCATTGTGGAGGTCAGCTGTGGATATGGGTGAAATGATGATACTAGGTCTTGTTCTGTGTTAATGGCCCAGGGTATTACAGTATCTCTGTTGTGAGGGAGACAGTGAAGTCCATTGGCAAATGTGGCTGCCTTCCCTTTTAGAAGCTAAATAGTCCCTGAACTATAGCAGAAACAATAGTAGACTGTTTCAGATGTGGACTAGTGGAGAAGCTAAGAAAAATAGTATATAAGTGCAGATGTTTCAACAGATTACTGCTCTTGAATGCTTGAATGAACAGTAAAATTATTAATATTGCTGAGACAAATATTGTCAGGATTTAAAGTTGTTTTCATGAAATCTCTACATGGGCAGTGCAGCTTTCTAAAAGCTGCTGTTCCAGATGTTCTGCAGTTTGAGGGAGAAATTGCTGAACTGATTACTTGCAGTTTCCATCATAAACAATTCTCCACAATCGTAACTGCTCGAAGGACTCCTTAAAAAATGTTTCTGGAATACCATATTCAGAGCCATTGTGAATCAGTCCAGTCTTGCCATACATCTCTCTTGATAGGAAAAGAAGAAACAGAGAAGATTATTTATCTGATTAAATTTTCCTTTCCAACCTTGCTATAATCGGGAAGAACTCAAAATGCACTCTCCTGGTGTGATTTGTGAGCCAAGAGTACTGAAAGTGGCAGAGGAGGGGACCAGGTCTGTGCTTCACAAGCACTCACTCTTAGCTGATGCCTCAAGATCTTGTGAGCATTTTGGCAGATCTGTTTTGCAGTCCTTTTTATTTTAATTAGGACTGGTAGCTCCTACTCATGATTGATTATGCATTTATTGCATTTTTAGAAATCAGAAATGAAATCCACTTGGAGTATTATCCAAAGAAGAAAGGCCAGTTATTCAAAGATAACACATTAATTGCACTCTGAGGTATAAGAGTTCCATTATACCCATTCTACAAATAGGAAACTGATGCAGAGAGATAGTAGAAAGTCTGGTGAGACACTTGTGAGAGGTCAGGATTTGCATCTAGATCTTCCACACTGTGGTCAATGTATTAGCAACAGCATCATTTTTCCTGGTTCTGGCAGTTAACACAATAAATTATACACAGATATGGACAAAGCAGGGTATGGGCAATGAAAGGGAGAACCATTCTATGATTCTATGAAATAGCAACTGATAATATGACCTTTTTCTTTCCAGGAACTTATTCAAGAACAAGTTGAGGTGAGTTGCTGTGTGCTTCTAATGTTGACTATAATAATGCAAAGGTTACTGCATGAGCCAAAGGGATTGTGTTAAGCCTCAAATGAGAGAAGTGGATTAGATAATCCATTAGATTTTCTGTTTTAGTTTCCTTTGTGTTACAGTTCTTCCTTTTTCTCATATTAAACGGAAAGTAAGATGATATTCCCTTACTACTTTTAGCTAGTGCAGACCACAGGAAGAGGAGCACGAGGGACACTGCCTCTGACGTTTCTGAAGGTGTTAGCTTCCCAGGCCTGTCATGGTAGGGAAACTATACTTTTATTTTTCTTTCATTCTTTTTTATTTTTTTTTTTTTTAAACTTTTCTGTCTCTACACATCTGCTTGAAAGCAAGCAGGAAATAAGACTGAGGGACTCTTCTCAAGAAGCATTTTTATTTAATGTTAAGTATCAAAAGTCCTAGTTTAAGTGTACCTATGACCTTTTACATATTTTTTGGAAGGAGTACAATAGGAATATACATTTTCTAAGGGACTATGGCTTTCCAGCACCTGGAAACGAGCAGACCTTACAGGTGTAGACTGCAGTGGCTCTAGCTTCTTGTGGCAGTTCCAGTGCCATGTACAGTATTTATAAGATTATGCTGAAAGGGTAAACGTGAGACAAAAGCGTCTATTTTCACAGAGCGCCACTTCATTCTACAAATGGCAGACAATATATATTTTTTTTTAAATCTAAAAAAGTCATGTGGCTGAAAAGCAGATTGCAGATGGTCTTGTGCATCTGCGAAGGCTAAAGATTGCAAACACCTCTGAAATGACTCCTTTATGTTCTGCTTGGATTTCCTCTGGATGCCATTAAGTGCTCACTGGCGAGAAAGGACTTAGTGGCAGGGCTGGCATTTGGTCTTGAAACTGATGGCTGTCAGTGGCAGGCACATAGAACAACGCCTATGGAACTGATATTAGCTGTCGTCTTGGTTTAATACTTTTTGATTTGTGAACTGGTTGCATCTTCAGACATCACACACACACAGAGAAAAGAAAAAAAGCAGCCCATTTGCCTCTTGCAACATCGTCTGAAAAGCCAAAAACTAATGATCTTACCATCCATCAGACTTGGGTTAGGTGAAAGTTTAGGCCATGTAAAGCTGGTCCTTATGCAGCAGGCTGGTTAATTGAGCTAAGCCCTAAGTCTGCCATGCTGCAGCCTCTGGGCTGCCTTTGGAGCCTCCCAGGTAATCTTTCAGAGCGGCCTTGTTTTATGTGGTTTTCTGAAAACCACAGTTGTGGAGGGAAGTCTGCTGGGTGGTTTGAATTCTCTTTGGCAGCATGTGCAAGAATTTGTATCTTTTTTTCAGGAGCTATTAAATTTAATGAGTGTTTGACTTTGGAGGAGAGCTGCAGGCTTATTGAAGCTTTGTCATCTTGCCAGCTGCCCTTCCAGTGTGCTCATGGAAGACCTTCCATGATGCCTCTTGCAGACATAGACCATCTACAGCAGGAAAAGCAGGTACTGTGTGGAACACAGATACTCAGATCAGAGGATAATCCACACTCTGGATTATCAGAGGCATGTCCTGTATGTGTATGTTAGACCTACAATGGACCAGTTTGAAATTATCACCACTGTCTGTATCTTGCTTGAATTTTTACATGGCTGTTACCCATAAAATAAAACTTTAGAACATGAAGCCTCTGTCCTGCAAACACTTAAGCAAGGGTCTTACCATATTTCATTTGAATGGTCACATTGACTTGAATGGAGTCCACTAGTCCTTAAACATATATTTTTAAGTGTTTGCAGTTTTTAAGTGTAAAACTTGGAAAAAATGTAAATTCTGATATTCTACTAGTGGCAAAGATGCTAATTAACCAAATGCCTACTTCCCCAAAGTTTAAGATGCTATAAAATAGGGAAAAAAGTGCAAAGAAATATCAACACTTGAATAATTTTTTAAAATCATTACTCCTTCCCTCTTGCTTTTACTGTGGTATATTGTTATGAAATGGGATTCTGTTGAAAGTCAGGTGGGACTTTTAATTAGATATTAAAAACACTTGGGAATGACTGTAGTAGGGCAGAGTATGGAGGCATTGAAGTTAATTTACTTAGTTATGATTTAATGCTTCTTAATTTTTCTCCTTCCAGCCTAAACCTAATTTGTTGAGACTGCGGAAGATGGCACGAGCATGGCACCTATTTGGGAAAAAAAGACCCTGATCAAAAAAAGTTAAGATTGTAACATGCAGCCCCTAGAAGGGGTGTTGGTATGATGCAGGTCCCCCTGTTGTTGGACAATACCTTGTGTGGAGCCAAGTTTCTGAGCCAGTGTGGTAACTGAAGTTCTGCTCCAAGTACGGAGGTAAGAAGCAGAGACCAGCCAGGAGCATGCAGCAGGAGGAGCCCACCCTTGTAGCCTGGAGAAGCATCTTCAACATTAAGGAATTACATTCTAAGCCTGTACTTTGTGGAGTGCTTGACTATTGGAAGCACAAAGTTACAGCCCACTCACAGGTACTAAAGTGCTTTTTCTCTGCAAGCACAGCATGATTCTGTATAAGAGAGACTTTTAATTAATGTATTTTATAGTGCTTGGAAAGTGGGGAGGTATTTATTAATAAAATTAACACTAAACTATTTCCTTGGGCTCATGGCAGTGGTTGGAATGAGGACCGACCAGCTTCATAGTATATATAGGCCAACTTAAGATCAAAAACCATTCTTTTTATTTAACTAGGCAATGAATGACACACCTTGCTGTTTTCTCCAGCTTCCTGCAGTTTGCATTCTTGAGTGAGATTTCTAAATCCTAGCATAGCCCCACCTTCTCAGGGTACAGAACCTTACCCCTACAGAAATAACTAAATAGCCCACAGCATTTTTTACAATAGGCAGACTTCTTTTACAGGTTCCAGACTGTGTCTCAGTCTAAGGTAAAGAAGTAGAGTTTATTTCAGAACAGTAAAAGAAGATAACTTTTTTTTAATCACAGACATCCAACTTCAAACCAAATCAGATAGATACTGACATCTGATGAATCTAAATCAAAACAAGGAGTGGAAACTATTCTCATTTGATGCCTTAACTGGGGGTGCAGTGTATTGCCATACATTGGTAAAAGGGACTAATGGAAAGTGATCTGACCTGCAAGAGCCTGAGAGTTATAAGATTTCTAAGTTTCATGCTGCCCCTCACAAAAAATCAAGAATTTTCTGAATGAGACGATATCCATTCAAAGAGAATAATCACTGTCACTCAAGTAGTTCAGGAGAGGAAAGACCCTCATTCTACAGTAAGCAAAGCAAGAGCTTTTCCTTCTGACAGGGAGGTGGACAAGCTAACTGACAGGACTTCTGAAGGTCTGCCTTTCATCAAGAATGGAATTTCCATTCCAGTGTTGTACGAAAAAGCTGGTTTGTATTTCAGTAACTCACCAAACATTGTGAGAAAATTCTACCAAAAAATCCATTTTGAAGACAATTGTCAGTGGCTATCACACTCGTGTGAAAGCACACCTTAAAGCCTGCTGCTGCATCGTAAGCACAGGCAACTCTCTCACTACACTGGTAAAACTGCTGCTTGTTAAAGAAACAAATTAGCTGTATATGGAAAATGAGCTTAACAGTGATATCACTGTAAACAGCCTTTATTGCAGCACACTTTGAAGTAACAGCTTAGCTGCCCCAGTGAGTTACACCCATGCCTTGCTGTTCCAAAATCAAAGTGGGTTAGCAGTTCCATGTGACTTGTAACACAGCACAGGGATCAATCCCTCTGCCAAATCAAAAACCTTCTGTTGCTTTTGGGTAGGAAAGACATTGTGCGGAACAAATTCCCTACAGCAACGCATCTTTGGAACATACATACACTTTAACTAGCTGTTCTTTCTAAAGAGAAAGATAGGGGAAGTCTGGGGAGTGACATCCTTCACGGCATTACAGTTCATAGTCATCTGGATGGTAGAGCTCGCTCATGAGGCGGTAGATGTAGGAAGGCGCATTACCCCCAATGTTAGAAATGAAGAGAGTAATGAGTTCTGGAGGAACATAGTCAAACACTGGGCAGTGCACGTTGATCTTTGCCAAGATCTCCCCTGTAAAGTGAAGAGCAGCAATATTAGACAAAGCAACTCAAAGAAAGTAAATTTAGCCTTCTGTATGTCTTCCTGAGCCCCTGAAGAAACGAGCTGTGCACATGTCACCCTAAAGTCAGTACTGGGTCATCCTGAATCCTTTACTGTGACACTCAACTTCCTCACTGATATAACCAAATTACTGGTATACAGCAATCTTGGATAAGTGGCAGCATTCTCCTTTGGTAGTTTTTACTGGTAGTAGCCCCAAATCCCCTCTGGTGTAGATTTACTAATTGCCAGAAAACCTGCCAGTATGTAATTAGAATGCAAGAACCCTGATGCTGCTAAAGTTAGTATTTCAACAAAAGCACAGAAGACCAAAAACAAAAACATGTGCCAAAGCTGTTGTCTTCATTTCAAAAATTCATCACATAGAAACAGGGCTTTGAAAGAGACTTTACTATCTGAAAATGGGCTTGTGAGATGACGCCTTTCTAAAGACAGTACTCGTGTGGGAAGCCCATTGCAGAGATAGAGACTGGATTTCAACAAGTGGATTGCATAATGAAGTTTCAAGAAGTTAACATGAGTTGTAGGAAGGAAAGGAAGCTACTCTTGGTGTCGGGCATCTGCTCTGTCCCACAAGAAACTGCCACCTGCCTGACACCATTATTATAGTCCAATAATAAATGACTATTTCAGAGCAAAAGTACAAAGATAGTGTTCAAAGGAAATCCTTTTTCTATAATTTTCTGTAATAGAAAATTACATACAGAATAGGATTGTTCCCAGCACTTTTTCTACTTAAGACAATAAGAAAGGATTTTCTGTCTTGGGTCACAGGACAGTCTTATGTTTAAATTTTATGTGAGCTATCAAAAAAATCCAACTGAAAATTATAGCCTGAACCAGCCTGACCAGCCTTTTAAAAAAAAAAATTATAAATATCCAGTACCTTCTGTGAATGGCAGCACTTCCTGTGGTGATACAAATTTGTGGAAGGAATCTTCTTCGTTAGGGAACTGAATGAGAAAGAGTACAGGAAGGTCAGGGAAATAGAGACTGCCTCATTATAGAAGTGAAAACAGATCCTGCGTGCTGGAAGGAACTCAAGCAGAGGAAGAAGACTCGCCAGGTGATACTGTATCTGTTTAATAGTGTTTAATAGCGTAGAACCTCTGTAACATCTACAGGTGAAAGGTTTCTCCTCAGAGCTTTTAGAGCCTTCTGTGACCTGGCTGCCCTTCTGTAAAGCCTAGGGAACTGGAGCAGAGAAGTGACTTCCTCACTCTGCAACTTCATCTGACAATACTGAGAAAGTACTTTCAATACTAAAGGTATAAATGGAAATCTGCTGTGGTTGAAGAAAAAGTATGGTGATGTCAGTCTCTAGTAGGCAGCAGTGTACATCCTTAGATCCAATGCACTGCTTGCTCAGCACACGTAGCAGAGGAGGGTGCTTCAAGGAAATCCCGAGGTGTGCCATATTTGGGTGAGGATGTCCTGTCTGAAGTAACAGGGCTAGATGGGGGAGATGGCTCATTTACCAACCTTGCGCTGGGACAGGTGGTGCTCTCCACCCTAACCTTCCACATGCATAAAATCACCACCCCATCTCTGTGTGGAGCAGGTGCGGTCCCGAAGAGCTGCTGTACTTACCTGTGGTGAAAGCTTGAACATGGGGGCACACACGATGAGCGGAGTGGAGTGGTGTTTAGCTGCCAGCGCCAGAGTGTGAGTCCCACTCACAGCAATCAGGGCACCGTTGGCCAGGATTGTCTTTGTACCAATGATGACCTTAAAAGGCAAATCAGTATTAGATAGCGTGTTCCACAGCAAACTTTGGAAAGAACACTTCCTGGCTCGGACCCTGCAGGATGAGCTGGAGGAGGAGTTTGTCAGAACAGCCAAAGACTGGAGTTACAAGGCAGCTGGATGCCTGATCTGTTTCATCTGGCACTGGCTCTGCACTGAGACATTCCTCTCTAACAAGAGCATGGCTCCAGCATGGTGAGGCCAGAACAAAGAACTTGAGAGGACAAATGGATGTTCTCCTGCAAGGAACACCAAGCAGAAACGGGGCTGTGTTCCTGTTCTACAAGCTTGCAAAGAAGCATAGTACAAGTAACTTGACTGCTGGCTGTAACAATTCCCTTGCTGTAAAATGGGAATAATGTAAAGCAGCTTAAAATAGACAGGTAAGAATTATGTGGCTGCATTTTATTATGTTACAACTACTTTTTTTTTTTTTTTTAGTTTAGGGTGCCAAGTCTTAATCTCTATAAAAGTACAGAACAGGTCTGTTTGAAAAGACACACTTTGGTGATTCCCTTCACCACCCATCTTGCTTTCCACACAAAGGGAGTTTCTCTCCTTTGGAAATGCTGGGTTTTATTCCATCTTCTTTAACATGAAGCTAATCTTTAGAGGCTGTGCTGTCTTTGTTTCTTTTAGCTGCTCTGCCTGCTAGCCACTAAGGCAGAAAAGCCTATCACCAGGCAGCTAGTCATCATACTGACTCAGGGTTTCATACTGAATGTCCACTCCAGGTGTAAATAGGGACTACTACAATTTTGAGTCTTCAGTGAAGAAACGCATCCACCACTGCTGGGACCTGCAGCTGGTTTGGGAGGCCTGAGCTCCAAACCTGCCATGAACTCCCTCCTCCCTCCTTACCTTGTTGACTCGGGACATGACAGCAAAAATAGCTGCATCACTCATGACAGTAGTTTCAATGTTCTCTTTAGATAGTCGGACAGCCATTTCATGACCCTAAAAAGAGGGAGAATCCAATTGGTCCCCTGGGACATAGCTCCTGCACTGCAGTTGTAGAGATATTAGCACTCAGTTCTTGTCTGAACGACAAAAATACCAAGCAATGGAGCACAAATACTGCCCTCCGACTGAAGGTCATGGGGTAGGATAACAAGCTGTCTTCAGTCTCCCCACTGCAGAGGAACCTCCATAATGTTCAGCTTCCCTCCAGAGACAAGAGTTCAGTAAGAACATGTGGGACAACACAGCACCTGGAGAAGCCAGCCAGCCTGGGCCTTACCTGGCAGAACGGCGCACACTCTGCCACGATGACCTGGAACTTCCGCTTGCGGGCAGCTTCCTTCAGGAAGGCCTCAACAGTGCGCGAGTAGCCAATGGTCATGATCACCTCATTGGAGTGGATGTGCTCCAGCGCCTGCATAGCAATGTTATCAGTGGTGCCCTCTGTAACAGAAGGAAGCCGGGAATGGAAAAGCAGCACTCGTGCTGCTAGGGCTGTCCTCCAACAGGATCATTTTTCACTAAAGCGATGCTATGAGCAGTGGTAGAGCAAGAGCAGATTTTCTTCCCATTCTTTTTACCAGTGGAGAGAGACCAAGAAGCTGGTCCTTGAATGCCCCATGCTCCCTATCTACTCATAGAAATAGCGGTATTGAAAACTCCATCATAAGGGGAGTGGCTTGTGTCAATACTAGTCCAGATAACTACCATGCCCACACAACTAGTGACAGCAATTCAGTGGTTTTACAGTTCAATAGCACTAGAACCACGTGGAAAGGAGAGGCAGGGCAACCTGGGCCTCAGAAGGAGAGTTGGGTACCTGATCTATCACGAGATCCCAGAAAAAGAAAAACATATCACAGTGGTTTGTGACAAGGGTCAAGTTATACATGCATAGGGATTAAGTCCAACCTTGGCATATTTTTTATACTCTTCTTCAGAGGACTCAACTCAAGACTTCCCAAAAGACCAAGAGCACCAGCCAACAGCCCCCCATACTGTTCCAGCCATGTCTTTGTAAGCCAAAGAGGCCTTAAACTAAGTCCTGGGAGCACAAGGACTTCAGTTCCTTAGTTCCTTCAGATTAAGCCCCCCAGATCCTTGCTGTTTTCTTTCCACCTAAGAGGAGCGGGAACCATCAGTCCCGTCCCATAAGAAGCTCCCCTCATGGGGCAGTTCAGACCCATCCATACCTATTTCTATTAGCAGCTCATTAATAGCTTCAATAACATTAGCTCTGAGAGGAGGATAAGGGGTGCTGAAATCCTCGCTCAGTCCTCCGGAAGTCAGGAGTTTGTGCAGGGATTCTTGCTGGTCACTTTCCTCACTGCGCCCGTGAAGCCTATGGAGAGAAGCGGCCCTTCAGCCTGGGGTGAGAGCGCAGGGGTGTGGCCAGGCTGACTGGCATTCCCACAGCGCAGCACACCTGGATGTGAACAGGGAGGAAGGAAAACCACACACAGAAGGCACACCAACACCACGCCAAAGCGCTTCACTAGCTGTCTCTGGCAGAAAGACACCCAAAGCTCTGCCAGGAAGTGCTTTCTCAAATCGTGTGCAAACGCTGTAGCCCACAGGTGAGGAGCAGGCTCATGGCTACCGCTCCAATAGGATGGACCCTCCTGGGAAAACAAGGAGAGAACAGCCTGACGTCAGGGCACAGACTGTTCTCATGCACCCACAACGCAGACACCAAGCAGAGTTTCACTAGAGCAAATGTTATCAGCTATGCTGAAAATGACAGGTTTCCTTTGACTTTAAACTTGCTGAATCCCTCTATTGGGGAAGTGGGAAAAGGGGGTGATGGAAACCAAAGGGGTCTCACAGAAGCAGCAAAACACACCACGTGGGAGAGCTATTCTGGGCTCCTGGGAGGGGTACAGACAACAAGAGAAAGACA